TCCCTCTCCCCTTCCAGTTCTGCCCTCCACCGCCGCCAAGATGCTGCTTTTGCTGCTGGGGATCATCGTGCTCCATGTCACCGTGCTGGTGCTCCTCTTTGTCTCCACTATCGTTAGCGTAAGTACGGATTTTCTTGCAGCACAGGGCTATTGGCATTTGGAAAGGCGGGAGGGTTTTGGGGGGGGGGGGGGGGAGCGGGTTATGGCAGGGCAGGACCAAAAAGTGTTATTTTTATTTGTGGTTTATTTTCCAGCCTAGCTTTTAGTGGAAAAGCTTAATTTACCAATTGCTGGTCTTACTAACAGTGGGATTTTGGAGTATTTTAGACAGTAAATGCTTTCCATGTTTGTGCTGTCAGGTGTGAGTGGTGGGTCGCGTGGTTCTGTGCTGCAGCAGGTAAGCAGGGCATCCCTGTTGGTACAGAGGAGAGCGCTGGTGAAGCCCACTCCTTATCATCCTGGCGCTGGTTCACATCATGGAGCAGCCTGAGAGCACCCAAACCACCCTCTGCTCTCTCCTTTCATAAAGTAGCTCCACCTGCTAACGGGCTCCAGCCCCTGGGACCAGCACGGCCAGTCTGAGCAAAACCCTTTGAAATGGGACTGGTTTGGGCACTGGCTCCTCAGTACCAGCAGTTTTGCTCTCCAGCTCTGCTATATGGACTCCTGCTGATGATTTTGAAGGGTTAAGCTTTGCAAGCAGAGGGAAGATGGAGGTTTGGGTGCTGCACAGAGGGTTCCCAGCACCGTTCTCGGTCCAGAGCCCAGTTTACACGTCATCAGCTTAGGAAGAGGTTTAACTTTGTTTAAAGGCAGCAGTTTTGTGGAGCTGGTGACTTGCTTCACCAGATTCTTCTTTCCGTTATTTTTTAAAAATTTCTTTTGGCGTGGTAATAGTACTAGAAGACGTTACAAAAATCTTCTGAGTTGTTAGAAATCACGTGGAAGTATTCAAATAACCCGGCCAGGCAGCAGGCGAGGATGGTGGAGGAGAGGGAAGTGGCTTTTCCCCACGGGACTTGGTCCATGTTTAAAGAGAATAAAGAGCTTCTGTTTCTCTGCCGTTGAGGCAAAAAGCAGCTAAAAGCAAATATCAGTATTTACTTTCCAAACCCTTTTCTAAAGAAAAGCATGTGCCTGGGAGCACCCAGCCAGGCACACGCGTGCCGGGACGTGCTGGGGCTGATGGGTGCCAAAGCCTTGGGGTTGGGGGGAAATGCTGCTGCCTGCCACCCCCCTGCTCATGGGGCTGTTCTCCCTTGCAGCAATGGCTGGTCAATGGCGAGCACACGGCGGACCTCTGGCAAAACTGCACCTCCGGTACTGTCTTCCACTGCCTGACCTCGTCCACGAATGGTGAGCACTGGGGCTGCTGCCATCTCTTGCTTTTATTCTCCTCCCTGGCATTCTGAAATCAAGAGAGATTTGCCTTTGCAGGTTGTGATTCCCTCTTGCTTTTCTCTGCACCTCCCCTGAAGTTGTTCCCTCCCACCCCTTCCCCTTGCCTCGTCTGCTCTGGGGATATTGCTCCTTCCCACCTTATCAGTCCGTGAAGTTGTGATGGGGCTTAGCATGGGAACCAGACCCATGGGCAGCACCACGGCAGGGTGCTCAGCACATCCTGCTACAGTAGAGGTGACTGGCTTGGATGCTTTTTGGTGGGCTCCTGTTGTCAGCCTGTTTCCATTACACTTGGATGCATAAACACGAGGCAGTCCTTGGAGCGGGGCTCACAGGGAGTGGAGGGGCTGTTTGGGGCACACTTCCCTCTTGCTCTGGTTGTGAGTGTTTGAAAGATGTACATGGTGCCCTGAGGACACCCTGTCCTCTCTCTAGAAAGCTGCCCGGGTTTTTGCTGCTCTATAGGCTGAGATTTGGGCATGACTGGTGGTTTGCTACCAAGTACCATGTATTGGATATGCTGAGCCCTGCCTTGTCCCGCTGCTGGAATGGCCCCTGTGGCACCCACACATCTGGGGTGGCTGAAGAGCTGGGTGAAGGCTGATGTCGCGTTGGGTGACATCATTCAGTAAGCTCTTTGCTGAGGTCAGCAGGGAAGCAGTGCTTGCTAAGACTCTGCGATTCAGTTTCCAGGGCATGTAGTGATAACACAAAGTCTGTGCTCAGGCAGTCATACAAGCCTGTGCCTCAATTTCCCCAGAAAACGGGGCCCAGCATGTGTTTTCAATTAGCTTGCATTTCCTTTTCCTCTGGAAACAGATTCTCCCAGTGTAACCCCCAGTGAAACCAGTTGTGAATCATACCCATGTCACTGCAAGCACACTCACACTACACTGGAAACGTGGTCCTGGCATAGGAGCAAACCGATGCCACGTGATCTTGGCAAGGAAGGAACAGTCGTGGTGGAGAGCACTGAATGCTTTCACAGGGTCTTGTGGTGATGGAAGACTGACAGAGGTTTTTGGAGATTTGGCTCACCCTGATTCCCAGCCTGCTGGGAGCAAAACCCCTGCAGATACCCATCATGGGGTGGTAGGTGCTGATGCTCGCCCCTCTCTCATCTTCCACTGGCTGAAAGCAGCAGTGTTTTCCTGCGTGGGTTCAGGCTCTGGTTTGTGTGGGAGCAAAGCCATCACCGCGGGTCTCTGCTGACGCCTGGTGGTGTCCGGGCCGGCCGGGAAGCAGCTGGAGCCCGTCCCAGCCCAGGAGCCTTCTGGAGCCATGTCCTTCATCAGCAGTTGGCTGGTGCTGGCCATCTGCAGCGTAGGCAGGCTGCTCCTGGCCAGTCACGCGTGCTCCAGAACTGCTGACCTTGCACTTTGAAATAAAAGGCAGCGATTCCTCCCATCCCCCTCAGAGTAAAGCCTCCCCAAATTTTTTGTTTTTCAAACTTGCATCGCTTTTTCTGGGTGTTTGAAGGATGCTGTGTTGGGGAGTTGTCAGTGTTGAGAGGGGCTTGTCTGAAATGCGGTTGGGATGGTTTCCTCTGCATCTGATTGTCCTGCTGGGTGTTGCCAGTCTGTATTGCCCTGTTCCCAGAAGCTGCCCAAAGAGGGGCTTTCCTCTGGATCCTTTCCAGCGATTATTTTTACCATTAAAGGGGCTGTAGTCAAGATGGACCTGCTGAAAACGCGGTCAAGGAGCTGGGTTTGGTTGATAAAGGTGCCCCTGTGGGCTGCTCTTTGAGTAGAGGTGCATGGTGCTCAAGTCTTACAGTTTTCTGCCAGCTCTGATTTGTGTTAAGGCTCTGCTCTGGCATCAGGAGAAGGGGTTTTTGCTTGGGTGAAAGCTTCTGCCCTCTCCATCCCGCATGGTAGCGGTGCTGCTGTTGACCAGTCTTCATCTGCTGGGACCATGGATGCAGGATCCAGAGCTCAATGGGGCTGGAGGAACACAAAACTAGAAGATATTTCCTAGGCTTATGCAAGGCTTTTAAAATTTGTTAATAAAAACAGAACAAAAATGCCAGCAGCATCCTTTGCAGTGGATTCCTACACCCTCTCTCCCTGCTGCCCATCCCTGAGCCCCTTGGTCCTACCACTTCTGCATTGCCAGGGCCGCTGCGGTCAGCCACTTTTTGGAGCAAAAGAGGGGACAAGGGCAAGGGTGCTGTGGCAGGGCCACCTCCGAGGCTCAAGCTCATCTTCTGCCTTATCCTTATTACACTCCTCATACGCTTTTTCCTAGGAATATGCTTACTTTCAAAAATCTGAAAGATCCTATACCAAATACCACAAACGGTTCTCATTTAAATCTGTTTCAAAACACAGGCTGTGCGTGCTACGCTGGCTTGTAGAAAGCTTGAAGAATTTTTTTCTCTGTGCCTGTGCCAAGGACGGTGCTTAACGGTTAATCGCAGCCTGCCAAGGTCTGCTCTGGGCTACAAGCAAGAAATCCTCATTTGGGGAATTTTGGCAGAACTCAGTCTCTATGTAGAGGCAGGTTGTTGGTTTTTTTTTTCTCTCCTTCTGGCCATCACAGTGGCCACTGTAGTGCAGTTATTTCTTCTCTTTTTGAAAAGGAGTGATGCTCGGTACTTGGAATATGTGGAATTAGGGCTGAGTCTCATGCATTCAGCATGGATGGGGACTTTGAGGGGGTTTGTTGTGCTGTGATGTTCACCTTGGCCTCAGCACGGTGAGGATGGATGAGCCTCCCCTCACTTGCCATGCTGCTGCACAGGGACCCTTTGGTTTAGATGTTTAGATGTTTTATGGATGCCCAGTGAGCAGCTGAACTTGCTAAAACCAGATGCCACCAAGATTTGCTTGCATTTAACACTGGGGCAGCTTTGGGACTGTGCTTCTAACCTTAAGGATTATCCTATGGGGGTGGAGTAAGCAGCAGAACAACCCAAGGGTTGACTGGAGGGCTGTTGAACCATGGCTCCTTGGGGCAGTAGCAGACCTGGAGTGGGCTTCGCTGGAGGCTGAGCTCCCACCTCCCAGATTCCTCCTGGCAGGGCTTGAACCCCCTGCATGTGCGAGGGCTGAGCAGCCCTGATGGGAGCCAGCACAGGGATGAAGGAGGAAACGCTGGGTTGGGGGCAGATGCCCACTTTGCCTTTTACAACTGCCTGCTTGTTGCTTTGGTTTCTGCACTTGCTTGTTAGATAATGGCTTTTTTTTTTTCAAGAGGCCGAGAACTATGGAAAAAATGTTGCAATCTTTGCTCCGTTTGCCCTGTCAGACATTCCTGGAAAAGACTTATCTCAAGAATTCAGCTCTGAATCCCAGAATTGTGCGTCGGCACGGCTGCGCGCCAGCCCCAGCTGTGCGATCCCGCTGCAGGCACGGGGCGCGCAGTCGGACCTGAGCTGCTCAACTGCTCTTAAGTAGATTCTACCTCAAATTTCCAGACAGCAATATTTTTTCCTCCAAAAATGGCTTTTCCTCTCCACAACTGAATTTTTTATGCAGGCAAGAAGATTTTTTTTCCCTGCTACTTTCTACTGCTCTTCCTCTGATTTTGGTAGGAATGCCAAATGTGGGGAAGCAATGGGGACTTTCATGGAGATGCCTACATACTTCTGTAACACCAGGAGACGTTTTTCCTGTTGTCTTCTTACTGTTTCTCCTGTCGCTGCTCTGTGGCTTTGGATGACTGCCTTGTTCACAGACAAGCTGGCAGATGGGACCCTAAGTAGCGCTGCTGGTGCTGGAAATGCATTTTCTTTGCACTGGAGGAGGCAGGAAAAATCCTCGTCCCTGGCACAAGGCTGGGACATTTGCACCCTGACCCGTCAGCTGTTCCCAGCAGGAACTGCGCTGCTGCTTCTCCACTTTGAAATGCACAGCTGAAACATCTGAACTCTTTGCTTTTACTCTGTCAACCTCCCCAGAGTGGTTTTGCTGCCGTTATTCTTTCAAACTCCTTCCAGACTCACATGGCATAGGAAAGGTATAGAGAGATAGAGATGCCGTTGAAATTGCTGTAATCCTTTTTGTGGCTGGTAATGATGTTGCAAGGCTTCGTTGAAGGGTTGTTCGTGTTGAAGCCTTCATCCTTCAGGGTTCGTTGAAGCCTTGCACTGAGGAAAATGATTTCTCAATGCCTAATTCCATTATTGATAGTGAGCATAAAATACCTGAACAAAAAGAGATGGGTGCAAATTCCCCTCCAGTCCACTGGAACAGCTGAGACTCCCCCAGCTGGATCTCAAGACTTGGAGAATTTGTCAGCAGTGAGGAGGGTGAGGTGGAGGTGATAGTCCAGTCACCTCTGCAAGTTACAAGTTCAAAAGCGTAAAGATTCAAAGATTTAAAACACGTTTTCAGTTTTTTATTGAATGCTAAAACTACCTTCTGCCCTTCTGCTCTGCATCTTGCTGAGCCTGTGGGCACAGCGTTGGTGCA